TTAAAATAAAACAAAAAAACAATTTAAAGAAGCGTTAACATAATTATCGTATTTAAGGAATAATTATGTGAGTTAAAAAATGTAATTATATTTTTTAATGGCATGGCATTTACCGTTAGCTTTCGGCAGCTATGGAAATCAGGAACAACTAGGCGTTTCGGAAATATAAGGTGCCAGGAATTCAAATTTTACAAATTTCGAGAGATGATAACTAAAGAGGTGGGTGGCAGTGGAATAAATTGTTAAATTTCAGACTCGTACAATCTGAGGTGTAGGGAAAAAACTATATCAAAAACTTGGTAAAAAGGGAATTTAGATAACATTAAATTTTAAAGACCATTGTGCTTTTAAAGTGCAAATATGGTATGTTGAGACAGAAAAAGCCTGTCATTACTTTTCTGTGTTTGCAAAATTGAAAAAATTGTTTTTGGTTTTGCTACAATAATTACTTAAAAAGTGGCATTTTTAGTACTTTAAGAGAATATAACTTTTAGAAAGCGGTAAATAGATAAAAATTTTGTTCTACGGCAATAAGTTTTTAGTAGAGATCTACATATACATGTGATATCTCTTTCTTGTAGATGTTTTGTGAACATGTCCACGGGTGGACAGACGGATGGATAAACAGAGTGAAACTAATAAGCATTTTTTTTCAAAAAAATTTTTGAAAAAGTGCTTAAAAGTCAAGACGCCAAAAAGTAAAATATAAAATCATAATATAAAAAGAAAAGAAAGAAACTAAATGTTAATGGCTTTGATTTCCGGTAACAAGTCTAGAATTTTGGCTTTTTATTTTTTTCTCATTTAACAGAACTTTTACAGGAATCGGTTAAGCATATCCATACTTTAGTAAATATTTTACATTGTACATAAGTACATACAAGTTATAAACTAATAAATCAAAAATTAAAAATAACAAAAATTTATTACACTCATTTCAACATTAATTTTATTTAAACCAACAAAAAAAAAATTGTAGTGTAGAATTTAAAGAAAATTTCATCTACAATCATATACTTTGGGCTATGCCTATATGATTACAATAACATTTTTGAAATAACAGAAATTTCATCTATTATATATGTTTGTATTGTATACGTACTCGTAAATATAAGATATTTAAATATATTTTTATATTAAGTATAGCTATTAGAAGTAAAAATAAAAATCGAATAAATTCTATTTCTATTTAAAAATTATAAAAAATTTTAAATAAAATTTATTTAATTTCAATTTGAAATTCAAAATTTTTATATATGGTAATTTTTCAAAAAGAAAACCTGCAGAAAGTCATGCAATATTTATTGTAAATTGTATAAGTATAATAGTTTATTATATATATATAGTGTGTAAAATAAGAAAACAAAACATGAAAATCAACAATTCTAATTTATTATAAAATGGCAACAATATGCCAGCGCAATTTTTTTTTTTATTTTAAAAATTAATAATATAAAAGTAAACAAACGATATATAAACTGACATAAACTGCATATATATGTAAGTATGTATGTATATAATAGTATGCATAAGTGATATACTGCATTATAAATCAAAATATATCAGATTTTAAACATTTATATTTTGAAAATTATTTTTAAGAATGCATTTGTTTAATAGTAAATAAATATTTATTTATGAAATAATATCGAATTATTATAAATATAAGGTGTTCCATAATCACTAAACAATGGACTTACATTAACAACTAAATTGAAGAAATTTATTTTGAAAATTAATTCCCGATTAGTGCAGCTTGATTCAAAGTATAGGGTATACGAAATGAGAATAAGAACCAATTCAATAAGATTTTGTGCAAACAAGATCTTTTATTAAATTCAAAAGCTAATTAGTACTTCACCTAGGATAGTTGCCCTTATTAAATATTCAATAATTTCTAGGAATTAGAATTATAACCCAAAAAAATTTGATTATAAACTCTAAATACACAGTGAGTCAGCTAAAAAAAATTTTGAGACGTGTATAAATTATAGTTCGGCACTTTCTTAAAAAATATTATATAGAGTTACCTCAATAAATTTTTGAAATATTTAAAATTAGCTCTGAAACCGTTCCTTGGTAGAAAAGAAAAATTTTCTTTGTGGGCGATTGCTCTTTTTTTGTTTTTCAGTTATTTTGCGAGAAGACGGAAGATGAACAAGTAGTTTTCTACACTAACGCAGAATTTTATTGTAGGCGATTCTTTCAAGGAGTCATAAACGTCACATCAAAATTAATATTTTCGAATTCACTGTATATTCAAAAACATTTTGGAAAAAATTTTACTTTAAAGCATTAAATTTTTTTTTTTTGTTTTTAAATTCCATTTTAAGAATAATTCCTATATCGTACTTGATTGCTATATAGTCGGCATTTGCTATATAGTCTGTTCCATTTCTCCATTTTAAACACATTTTTTAAGTTCATAATTTAAATGAAAATTTATAGTTAATATATGAAATCAAATTAATAATAATTTGATTATAATTACACTATTCTGGTCTTAACTATAGCCAATTTATTTAACTATTGGATACCATGTCTTCTTCAAAACATTATAGCCAATATACATACGTGTAGACATTTAACTATCATTACGAATTCAGCAAAAGAAAAAGTAAAAAATAAATTGATCACAATTTTTTTTTTTTCAATTTTACCTGTGGAGGCTGATACCATTTAACATTTTATGACATTTGCATGCAAACTTAAAAAAAAAAGAAAAATTCCACGTGTTTATATTTTGATGTCCTTGCATGATGTCAATTCACCTCCATTCAGTTTTTTCTTTTATTCCGTAAAGTTGCCGAGTATATTGCAATCATATATAGTAGATTATGACCAATCATATGGCCAAAATTAATTGTATTGAAATCAAAAATTAAACCGATCATTGCAATTTTACATACTGGGCTAAAATATAAGGACGGCACAATATTTCAACTGTCGAGTTTTCAATATAAACGAATTTCTTTCTTATGTCGATCTTTTTTTTTGTGCCCAGTTGTGTATATCAATTTGGTTGAAGCGATTTTGGCGGAAATTTAAATCTGAACTTAAACTAACCACGTCGAAAAGATAGCAACCGAATTTCTATTATACAGTCAAATTTGCAGTTAAACTTAAATACAGTCAATTTTCAATAATCAACCAATTTCCTTGATAGTTACTATTTCAATGCTGGTTATTAAAAGAGTAAACCAGTAAATGTTTTAGGAAAATCGGAATTCCGAAACCGAACCTTTACTGAGGACCGATTTTTTTGCAATTAGTATGTAATTATTATTGAAAAAAAATTCTTTGAACATTAATATAAGGGTTCTTTTTGCCAACAGTACTAACTAACAATACCTTTGGATATAAGCTTTGGTGGTACAAAAACTTGTACCCTACCGGCTCCGTTAAAATAAAAAAAGGGATTTTTTAAGGGATATTTTCATAATTATATGTAGCACTTTCGTTAAACCAAAAAGATACACTTTGCGATCGGTACTATGCTGACCAGATTAGATTTTTTACTTTAAAGCATAAGTGTAAACCGTTAAGTGCACTGTGCGTAATTCGAATATTAAATATCAAATTGAATCAAACTGATGTATTCTAGCGTTTTAATTAAGTTTAACATATTATTTTCTGTCAAAACACACATACAAAAGAATATATCATTCTTTGTTGGACTGCAATTTTTAAACTCAGATTCAGAAACATTGCTCTAATAAAGTATTTTTAAATCAATTCAACACATTCTTTTATCTACCATAGATCAGACCATAAGTTGCCTTAAATATCTTTTGATTAGTGTTAACATGAAACTACAATAAAATTAATCATTATTAAAATCGATTTTTTTGGTTTTAGTTTTTAAATTGCACAAATAAAATTATATTCGGATATTTTGAATTAAATTTCCCATTCTCTCTCAGCAAATAAATACTCGTAAACTACCACATTTTGTTTACTTTATTTAAACGCCTTAGTATATATAATGTCAAATTATACAAGACGCTCAACTATTGTTTAAATAAAAGCAACACTAATATGTACGTATGTATATAGCCATTAATGTGTGCATGCAAAAATATATAATATTGCACATAGATGAAGAACGTGTGTAAATTGTTTGTATAATTAAAGTATAGAAAAAATTTGTCGTTTTATACACAGTTAAAAATAGATGATTCGCGATAAATACTGTTATTATATTTTTTGTTATTTTTTTTTTATTATTCTTGTATTAGAACTTTGTTATTGAAAGTCCTTGAAGGATATTAAATAAAATAAAAAGAAATACAGGCCATTACCCATCAACATTTGCTCTTTTTTTTTTTGTTTTCTTCATTCTTCTGCAATATTTTTTTTTTCTCTTTAAAACTTCCATTAAATAAACGGGAAAATTGTTAATTTTTTTTTCTTTTATTGTTTTTTTTTTTTGCTTGGCATAGCTACTATACGTACGGTTACCCGTTTTTTTTTTTTACAAATGGAAAACAAAAAACCGGTTTATCATGACACATGACACTTGTTTTTCTCTTTATTTTTTTGTTTTCTTTTCTTACTCTCTTTTTTTTTTCTTTAACTTTGTTTATTTTTTTTTTGTAGTTTTGTATTTTCTTTATTTTAACTTTTATTTATAAGAAAATTTTATTGGAGAATTTCCCAAGGTAATGACGACAATTTAACACATACACACATATACGCGTATATATGTCATATGTCATGTGTGTGTGTGTGTATAGACAGAAAATATGAATGTTTGCGTACGTACATAGAAATCATACGATTAATTTTAGTTGAATGCTTTTAAATGATTCAAACCCTATATGAATAGAATATGTAGGTAATATCTTATAAAATGCACACTCATGAAGAAAATTAGTTAAAATATCAGCACACATACATACATATGTAAATATATAATATAAATATAAAATTTTAAAACTGATAAGCATAAGATTAATTTTATAAAATTATTAATTGTATTTTTTAATTTATTTTTTCAGACTCCTATAAAATCTGATCAAGAAATATTAAAAAATTCTATGCTTGAAGATGATCCAAATGGTAATTTAGCATTATCAACAGGCGGTGAAATAAGTAAAAGTCCAAGATGGGGTCCACAACATATAGGTGCAAAAGAATTAGCAAATTTATATAGTCCTGGTAAGTAAATAGTTCAAATTGACATTTTTATCTGATTCGAAAATTAAAGTTTTTAAGATGACTGAATTGCTAACCTTGCTAATTTTGTTTAATATTTTTATAAATTTACTTATGTATATGATATTTAGCATATTTATATTAAATGTTGCCTTTTGAAATTTTCTTATTATCAAATGTGATTTTAAAATTTCTTACAATTTAATTAAAATAAAATTTAATTTTTACTTTAATTTAAAAAAAATGCATTAAGAACTTGATTTTAAAAATTGTAATACCAAGGAATTTTATTCATAATTAAAATTTCAATTGAAATTATTTTAAGTTTTATTTCAAAATTTATTTCATTTATTATTTTATTTATAATTTTTATATTAAATATGCATATATATATACTATACATAATACTCGTATGCATTAAATGGAATGACATCATAATTTTAACCATTATCCTTGTATATAAAAGAAAGCAATTCAAGTAAATTTAAGAAATAGAATAACTTGTTTTAGTTGGTTTTCATAAAAAAAAAAATTAGTTATATTTATTTTTTGCCATTTAAATGCCATGATATATCAAAATTTCTTTAAAGAGATCTAATGCATGCTTAAAACCTAGAAATCCCAAAATATAAAGCAAAATTTTAAAATAGAAATGGCAATATTTAATTCATGCAATTAAATTTTTTGATTTCGGGGACATCAAAATTGCATTTATTCTATATTGCATTGACTGCAATTACTGAAATCAGGGATTTTGTAAATATGCACTTTTTTATTAAAAATTTGGAAATAAACTCAATTTTTCATGGAAACACATAATAAGCTTACAAAAAGTTACGAAATAAGTATACTTTTTAAAAATGCCTCTTAATAAAAAATATTTTCAATGAAATAAACTCGAATTAAGCCTGTAGTCGAGTAATCGAATTAAACTTTGACTGTAGCGCATCCTCCTTAAACACTCAAAAATTCACATTCATTTTATTGATGGATTGTATACGCACAGGATGAGAACAATAATTTAAAGGAGCATTAACGAATAAATTAACAATTAATTAGAAAAACATTTTATTGTTATTAAGCATGTACCGTTAGCACTTAAAGTCTATAGCTTTTTGAAATCGGACTAGATTTAATTAAATATCTTGCATTCAGTTTTCAATTACATGTCGTTTCAATAATTTAATATTTTTTTTTTCTAATATTCTTACAGGTAAACGAATTCAGGAAATAATATGTGTAGTCACTTGTATCGCCTTGATGATATTAGATTTTATATTTATGATAAAACATTTCCATTTAGAAAAAATTAGTTTTGCTTTTATAGCAGCATTTTTTGGTATTTTAACAGCAGATTTCGGTTCTGGTTTAGTACATTGGGCTGCAGATACATGGGGTTCTGTAGAATTACCAATTATAGGAAAGGTATTTTATTATATTTTAATTACAAACCGAACACAAATATTTAATATACTTGAAAATTTTAATTTTTTTCTCTTCTTTCTATAGAATTTCTTAAGACCATTTCGTGAACATCATATAGATCCGACATCAATAACAAGACATGATTTCATTGAAACAAATGGTGATAATTTTGCCGTAACAATACCAATATTAGCTTTATTAGCTTGTAATTTTTTAACAAAAACTCCAACTGAAATTCAAAATGAATTTGCTTGGATTTGTTATTTATTTTTATGCTCAATATTTGTAGCAATGACTAATCAAGTAAGTAATTTTTTGTTATATTTTATTCTTCTATATTGAATTATTATTATTATTACATCATCAAACCATCATCCTACCATAATATATATATATATATATAATATACATATACCTATAATATATAGATAATTCGATTCACCTAAAATTTTTATACTAAAAATAGCTTTAAAAAAAAAAACAAATAAAATTTATTTTTTACCTACTTTTTATTTTATTACGATATAGATTCATAAATGGTCTCACACCTATTGGGGTTTACCAAGGTGGGTTCTATTTTTACAAAATCATCATGTAATTTTACCACGTAAACATCACAGAATTCATCATGTGGCACCACATGAAACTTATTTTTGTATGACAACCGGTTGGTTAAATTGGCCTTTGGAGAAAATCAGGTGAAATTTGCAAAATTTGTTTTGAAGTGCTGATTGATTGATACATACATATATAATTTTGTGCATATTGTATATGAGTAAAATATTTTCTCGTTATACGTTGTAGAATTAGACGCGATAAAAATAGACTAATTAATTAGTTAATGTGAATTCAAAAAATATTACAAATTTGTAGTAATTTAGAGAACAAATTTTTTTTTTTATATTGAACCGTATTAATCACATATTTTAACAGAGCAACTTTTAGTAATTATAACTGAAATATATTCTGTTATATACCATCAGTTTGTCCAATTTTTTAAAATCCACTACAACTGTATATAATCAAGAACTCAATTCATTGTTAAGCCCATTTATTCAAAATAAAATATTTTGAGTAAGCAGTTTCTACTTTTGACTAACGCGTATTATGGAACATAATAGTATAATAAAATTTACTAATAATATTAAATAAATTAGATAATTTGACCTTGAAACTTGAATAGATATTTAATATCATTCAAATTAACTGAACATACACTGGAAAATAATTGTAATTTTTCAGACAAAATCTGTTTCACACAATTTCAAGATTTTCACAAAATATTTGTGTTTATATATTGTAGTTTGTTTATTACTGTAGTATTTGTACTAAATACCAACTATTTAAAGTTACTATAGAAATAAACAATAAATAGAAGTGTGGATATTTTTGGAGTTTTTGCAAAATTTCTCAACAGCAATTCTAAATTTCATAAATTTTGAAAATTTAGAATTTCTATTCATTTATGTACACAAGTGCTATTTTCACAGGAAACCGTTAGCTGTAGTCAAAAAGAGGAAATTACAAATTTGATATTGCGATGCTTGAAATTTATTTAAAACTAGAAAAAATAGAGTTGACCGTGCCGACTCTGTGATACAAAATATAAAAAATATTTAGCATCACAGAGCTGCCATACTACCAGAAGGTGCCAAGCAAGTTCGTGTGTGTATAATAATTTTATGTATAGAGATACAGAAATATTAAAAATTTAAAACATTGTAAACCATATAAATAAGGTTAGTGAATCCTTAAATTGTACCCACACCGTATAAAAACTTATTCAGATTTTTAAATATGTGTCAATTTTAGTACCATATGTTACACATTTATTAATAAGTGTAGCAAATCGAAAAAAATCATATTTTCTATAGAACTATAGTTATAAATATCGCATTTAACGACAAATTTTATCGCCATCTTATACAAAAATTTGAAGAAACCAATAACATGGTTTTATTTGATTACATGCGTTTTAATGGAAAAAAAAATTGTTTGTTCATTTAAAGTTAAGGAATACTTGGCGAGATCTACAACTTTCAATCCGAAATTTCAATTAAATATGAGATCAAATTTTTTCACTGTTATACAAATATACAAATTTATATATTTTATTTAATTTTTCTTATTTTTTTAGATTTTGGCCAGCTATGGAAGCCTGTATAGAATATATTACAGGACATAAACCAAGAGCAGATGACTTAAAATGGGCTAGTAAAATGGAATAGCAACAAAAATTATTATATAAAAATTTAAAAATGAAGAGAACACAACAAAATCAAATCATAAGAAAATCAATTTTTTTTTACAAAAGCTCAACAATTTCATTCAAACAAAAAAAAAAAACAACAACAACAAGTTTTTTCTTTACTTACATATTTTTATATTATAAATTAAAAAAATATATATAAAATTATTCAGCTTAAAATTACAAAATCATCATAATAATAAAAAACCAAAGAAATATAAAAATATATAGGTACATACATACATACATAAATTATTTGAGAGAAAAAATTAATAATTTAATAAAATATAATTATAGCTATATCTACATATACACGAATATAATACTGTTTGGTTGTACAGTTTTACCTCAAAAATTTAAGAAAAAAACCAAAATCATATATGAAAATAAATATGTAATCATTAACAATAAATTTTCTGTTCATTCACAATAGTTTATTGTGAATGCATATACGAATTTTATATTATGTTATGTATAATATAAAATTTGTTTTTATTTTATTTTATATTATTTAATTTACATATACCCATTCTTAACGAAAATATAAAAGTCAATATACTAATTTATTTATTCTGTGCTTATATAAAAGTATTATTTATTTGTATTTTAATTAAATTTTATAAATATATTCAAAACAGTTTTCAATTAGCAATTACAAAATTTACGAGCTAAATTGTACATATAAAAAATTTAATATTTATATAACGCTTATTTGCTGAAACAGTGACATAACTCAAAAAATACGATTCTTGACTACAGAGATATGCACTTAAAATAATTCTTTTCTGTGCAAAAATACAATTTTTCTAGTTTCAAATATAAATTATAATGCTATAACAAGAAAAATATATTAACTCCAATACTTAACAATTCGTTTACCTTAAATATGGAAATTTGGAGTTATGTCAGTGTTGTAACAAATGACCTATATGTACATATTATGCATTACTGTAATTTTTATAACAATTTTATTTAGAATTAGAGAAATATTATTATTTATTTAATTCAGAAAAATCCAAATCATGTTTCCAAATCATATAGAAATGAAATTAATAAAAAAAAATTTGAGTTAAAGTATAAAATTTCTTTTTTCAAAATTGTTATACTCTTAAAAATTTATTTATAATACCAATTTTTTTTTACTATCTGTTATACTACAATATAATGTATATTTAATACAAGAAATTACTCTCAATGAAATATTAAAATTAAGAAATTTTATAAAAATAAATAAATGTCTTTTATACGTATATTACATATATAATATAATTATAATAAAGAATTAAGAAATTCAAATTTTTAATAATGCACAATATATGAAAAAAAAAGAGTAAATAAAATAAATTCTTATAACGGTAAATTATAATTATAAATAAAATTGTTTATTAAAGTTAATATTTTTACAAAATTCTTAAAAAACAAAAAATAAATATGTGAAAAAACAATTTAAAAATTAAAATTTTTCTAAATTAACCATGTATGTAATATTATTTCTATATGTATGTATAAATATTATTTAAAAAGAAGAAAAAACAAAATCAAATTTAAAATTAATTTCAATTAGAAAATTAAAAAACAAAAGATTTTATAACTTAAATTGAAAAAAAAAACACACAAAATTCTATAAAAACATTAAAACGACCAATAAAAATCAGATTTTTAAAAACAAAAAATTATTACATAATTTATAAATTTAATCTTAAGAAGATTTTCTAAATAATAAACAAAATGAAAAAAAAAAAATTTGAATTAAAAAATTTCCAGACTTAGAATTTGAAAAACAAAAACTGTTATACATAACTCTGCTTTAACAAAAAATTTGTTTTATTACGATAAAAAAAAAAATTTTAAAAAAAGCAAAATAACAAAAACTGTTATACATAATTCTGCTTTGAAAAAAAATTTGTTTTATTATGACAAAAAAAATATTAAAAAAAGCAAAATAACAAAAACTGTTATACATAATTCTGCTTTGAAAAAAAATTTGTTTTATTATGACAAAAAAAAATATTAAAAAAAGCAAAATAACAAAAACTGTTATACATAATTCTGCTTTAACAAAAAATTTGTTTTATAATGACAAAAAAAAATATTAAAAAAAGCAAAATAACAAAAACTGTTATACATAATTCTGCTTTAACAAAAAATTTGTTTTATAATGACAAAAAAAAAATATTATAAAAAGCAAAATAACATAAAAATTTTCAAAATTTTTTAAATTTTCGAAAAACAGATTCCATTCTTATGCCCTTTTTTTATTTTTATATTATCAGTTTTCGTATATGCACTCAGATTTAGTCACATTTTATCGTTATGTCAATAAATGGACAAAAATGTCAAATATTATTTCTAGTATAACAAAATACAATTGCATATATGCAACTTATTATTAGAGAAAACTATTAGAAGAATATATTAAAAAGGGTAACGATAACTTTAATCTCTTTTCGAAGACACTAAGCGGTAACGATAAATGTTTACAAATATGTCATATTTAATCCTTTGATTATTTTACAAACAATGTAATTGTAAGTAATTCAAGAAATTTTCTTAAAACTGGAACTGTTTTCTAAAATCTTAAAACGTTAAAAAAATTGAATTGAAAATTTTTATATTATTATAATATTTCTTTTTTCTTAATTATTTTTAAAAAAATCGCTAACGCAAAATTATTTGTGGAAAATTAAAATTAATCTTATATAAAAATGCTTTCAGTGGCCTTAATAAAATCAAATTTCAAATATATACATAAAAATTGGAAAAAGAAATATATTTATCAATTATTTATTAATTTTTTTTTTTAATTTTAAAACAAATTAATTATACGCCATATTTTATTTTCATTTCATTATTTGTCATTCCTTTTATAATAGAAATATTTTTAATGAATTCAATTTACAACACTTATATAACTTATATGTATATTTATTAATTTTAATTTTATTTTATACTCGTATTATATTTAATAATTTAATAAAACATGTTTACTTATACCCAAATATTATGTTACAGAATGTTTAAAAATTGTTATACATACACACATACTCAATGTATGTCACCAATATTTTTATTTACATTTTTAATTAGCTTTCGCTTATTAAATTAAACTTAATAAATTATTAATGCTCAATGCGCGATTACATAATAAAGAAATGATTCTTATATACAAAAATAATTTCATTTTCTAAGGGTTGATTTTTGTTATACAGGTTGTCGCGTAACAGAGTAACATTGCTATATACCATTGTATAGGGTTTCATGAGTAGACAAAACTTTTGTATAGAGACGATATTCACAGTTCAATAAGTTCGGAGTTACAGAGGATTAAAGTCAATTTTGATTGATTTTTTTTACTTTTTGGAATATTAAATGGAAATCCAGGACTGTGTAAGACAGACGAATTAATAAATATTATTTGGAACACTCAGAGTAAGAGCTTTCTTATGAATATTTACATTAATTCATACAAAAGTTTTGTCTACTTATGAAGGTCTAAACAATCGTATTAATGAACTTTGTTACAAGACACCTTGTTGTCTATATACGGATTGCCGAAAACTAGCGAAAATTGCAATATTTTTAAAGTTGATGAATAAAATTTTATCTAATCCAAACCTGTATTAATTTCAAATATTAAAATAACTTAAAAATAATCATAGAAAATCTAAAATTTTCAATTTTAAAAATTTAAATTTTTTTTTTTAAAAATAATTTTACCAATGTTTTATAAATAAGATTATTAAAATTGCATAATTAGCGGCTCATTTTTTTCATATTTGTTAAAAAAAAAAAATTTTAACTCATTGGATTTTATTGGGAAATATTCATACAAATAAAATTTATGAATTTAATCTTTTTATAATTTTAATTTAATTTTTTTTTTAAATTCAAGCCCTTAATTTATTTCAAAATAAAAAATATAAAGACCAAACGATACTAAACATGTCTTCTTTTTCTGTTATATTATATTTGTTAATTTATATTTTTCATTTGGCAACCTTGTACATTATTTACTAACATACTTCATGATAAATTTTCCTTACATAGCGACATAAAAATATTCAACAAACTAAAAAAAAAACTCAAAAACTTTTAACAATAACACAAAAATCATCTTTAATTTTGACATTATCCAAAGTAATGCTAAATTTTAACTATAAAAATTCCTCTCTGTCCAAAAATTCATCAACAATAATTTATTTTTCCATTTGAGTCATAAAAATGAACAAATTAAGACAAAATTAACCATTTTGTATTTTGATATTCCTTGATAACTACAAAACATTAAAATACATTTATAAAAAAAAAAAAATGAAATTAAAAAAAAAATTTAAAATAAAAAATATGACAAAAAAAAAATTTTCTAAAGAAAAACCAATAAAAAAATTTGATAAAAAAACAAAAATAATTAAAAAAGTTAAAAAAAAAAATTTTCTAAAAATAAATATTAGCTTTTTTATTAAAAAAAAGAAGACAAAAATAAATTTAATATTTTAAACTATTTAGAAAAAAAATTTAAAAAAAAAAATTGTTACCTACATAATAATAAATATGAAGGAATTATGGTTACATTGAATAATTGTTTTCACAGAGTTAAGCAATATGTTAAGAATTTTATAGCTTTAAATGCAAAAATAAAGATTAAAAATAAATAAAAAATAGTTGAATACTGAAAAAAAAAAAATGAAGAAAATTTAAAATGGATTAGCACTGTAACTATTTTTTAAATTGTTTTATTTTCAATTTTAACAGGTTCTCTTTCTCGTCATTAAACTATATACATACCACTATCCCCTTATATGTATAGCGTTATTCTAACCATACAAATATTTCATATATTGTCGCATTGTACCATTAAATAATGTACACAAGTTATGTACTGTACACTTGTGCTCTCTGATATAATTTTGAATACCTTTACCTATATTTATTATATATAGGTAGAATAATTTGCATTTCCATTAAAATATTTAAAATTGCCATAATATAGTGTTTTAATTCTTTTATGATATAATTTCATTCTTATGTAATTATCCCTATACAAATAATATATATATATATATGTAGTTATATACAATAATTCTAAACTATATGTAGAAATTATATTGTAATGGAAGAAATTCTATTAAAATGCTATTCACTTATATAAGAGATTATTATAATATTAAAGTCACGATAACTAAGTTTTAATTTCGATTTAGTAAAGAAGTAACTTATATAATATTTATATATATACAGAGTGATTTAGTAATCAGTGACATAAAGTTGACCATCATTTTGGGTATCAAAAATGAATAAAATTTTTGTTCAGAATTAGGTGTTATATTTCAACGGTTTCCGAGGTACTGGATTATTAAAAAATTTTCACAAAATTTCTACTTACTCGAGTTATTTTGCTTATAACTTCGTTTCCGAAAAAGATAATTAGTACCGTAGAAAAAAGTACTTGTCCTTTTAAAAATGGTTTTTAAAAGGGCAAGTACGGGGCTTAAAAGCAACGTATAACTTTATAGTTAAAGTACTTTCGGAATAACAATTATTCGAACTTTGGAAGAAACTTAAATTTTCACTGCTTTTATTTTTTTTATTTTCTTCTAGCCAGGTAATTTGTTACAAAATTTTTTTTGAAGCTTTGAATTTTTTTTTACAGAATTTTGGCTACATTCTCATGCTTTAAGTTAAGTCACTAAATGTTGAAAATCTTTTATGGTATAGGAGAGCGGAAAGAAACTATTTCTATGTCAAGATTTTAAAAGCCCTAATATGAAAGATTTTAAAAGCCCTAAGTGATAAAAAACCAAAAAATTGTCACTATTTTCGAGTTTTATTGATTTTGATTAGAATTATCAGCTATTAATAAATTTCGACCGCAATAGTTACTCTAAAATGTAGTTAGAATTTTTAAGAAATTATTTAAATTGTTGAAATTGTATATAGTTTGTACAAAAAACAAAAATTAGAATCCGGATACCCCAATAATGCATAATGTTACTTTTTAGCACTTTTCCAAAAAATTTTTGAAAAAAAGGCTTATTAGTTTCACTCTGTCCGTCCGTCCGTCCGTCCGTCTGTCCGTGTGTCTGTTTACAAAACTTTTACACCCTTGAAGATAGAAAGCTGAAATTTTGTACGTACATAGAGTTTTACTAGAAACTTATTTTCGTAGAACAAAATTTTTATCTATCTCCCCCCCTTTAGAAATTATACCCCCTCGAAACCCTAAAAATGCCATTTTTTAACTATTTAGTGCAATGAAACCATAAGGATTTTTCAAATTTTGCAAACGCAGAAAGGCAGTGGCTTGCTTCCCCTAGCGGGGTATACTAAAGGTTAACTTTAGAAAAACAAAATGGCCGCTCAAATTTACCGTTATCTAAGGTCCGTTTTTTCCAAATTTTTGATGTCGTTTATTTTCTAGACCCCAACCTGTAGAAGCTTGAAATTTGATGGGCTTTTGGAAATTAACAAATAGTTCATTTCGTTGGAAGAAAATTTTTTTCCATCTCCTTCCCCTCTCAAGTTATTGCCTTTTGAAATTTGTAAAATTTGAATTTTTGACACCTTATATTTCCGAAACCGCAAGCTTTTTCAAATTTCTATAAACACAAAAAGCTAACGGTAAATTCCATGACATTAAAAAATATAATTATTTTTCTTAACTCACATAATTAAACCTTAAAATCGAGCATTATGTTAACCCCACTTTATATTAATTTTTGCTTTATTTCAAAGACTGCATATATGCGTCATCCTAAATATATGCAATTCTAGAAATAGTTAAATATGAATGAAAATAATTTTAATAGTGTGATAGCTATACATAGACTGTATTTAAAAGCAGAATTTTCACTTGCTGAAGGGAAAAGTGCTACAATACAAACCATTGGTTTGACCCAACTTTATTAATACACAGTTTACATTCGGGTTAAAAATTTTAAAGGTATAAATATAAAAATAGCACAAAAAGTATGAAAAATTAAGGATTAATAAAGTATAAATTTTCTCTTCTGAGATAATGTCTTGCAATTAAATGGCTTATAAGAATCGAATTATATAGTTGATAATAGACAAAAATTTTACGCTGCCATATTTTACACTATATATAACATACATATATAGAAAATTTATAGAAAGTATGTATATAGAAATTTATTTTTTTGTTCAGGAATTTTTTAAATAAAATTATGCAATGTGTACAGCCATGTACATATTATAGGCAAGTAAAAGTGAATAATAAAATAAAGAATAAATTAAAAGTAACAAAAAAAAAATCCATGAAACCCATGGTTTGTAAAATAGCACGTCTCAGTTTAAGATATTCTGTTGAAATCACTCTCTTATATATTACAATGTCTATGGCAAGAAATCATGGTATCACACACGTCTATGACAAGAAATTTAAGGTACTGATTTAAAAAATAAAAATTATTGGTATTTGCAAGTACACATGAACGGGGAGATATTCACAAATTTTCTTCTAGAAAAATGATATTTTTACTAAGATATTTCTATTCTATAGAAAATTCTATTTTATGAAAGTGTTGCAAGTTTTATAAACGAGCCGAACAGACCAAATAAAATTAATAAATACATTTTCCTCGAAATTTTTTATACAAATGCACTAAAAACAAACACCCATTCAAATTCTGTAAAAATAAATATTTTTCCTTAATTAAATTAAATTTTGAAAATATCGAACAAAACAGAATTTAAAAAAAAAAAATATTCTAGTACTTTTCAGTTTTACTTTAACATCTAAACAAATCGGATATGAGTTCTGAATTTTTTTTTCTCTTCAATTAAATGGAAAGTGATTTTTATAATTTAAACAGTGTTAAAACGTCAAGTAGTGAGAATGATTTTGAAACTTGTAATAATTCCTCAGACATTGACATTGAACATTCGGAAATCGATAATTATATAAAGCCACAATTTCAAGAGAAATTACCAAATCAAAATTATCAATTATATAAAAATCATAAAAATTCTAAAATAAATATGGGACCATTAGGAAATTCAATTGAACCAGCAAAATTATCTAAAGAAGATAATGAAAAATTTGAAAATATTTTTCAAAATTTTTTACGTAAAAAAACTTTATCAATGCAACAACATAAAATTCAACAAGATCAATTACAGTCCCGTTTAGATTCTAATGAAAATGGACAACAAAAGAATAATGATGATAAAAATAATTTACCAGAAATTGTTTTAACATCAGTTGATAATACACCAGAATCAAGTAGTAATGAACCAAGTAGTAGCAGTAAAAAAGATTCAACATCAAGTCCATCAAGTAAATCAAATTCTGATGTAATCGAAAATTCAACATTACAAACAGCAGATTATGATTTTTATAATGGTTTAACAGCTGTAATGGCAGCTGAACTTAATTTTGAACGTAAATTAAGTTCAAGTTCATCTGCAACATCAGATAGAAGTCGAAATTCAAGAAGATCATCAATATCAAATACAACTGCAACAACAGTTAAAGCAATGGATTCATCTAGAAATTTTAATAATATTCAATTTTCGAATATATCATCATTACAATGTAATAATGAAATAACAAATAATAATAATAGTAATAATATAAATAGAGAAAATTTAAATCAATCAGAAAATTTACCACCAAAAGAACTAATTGAACAACATATACCACCATTTTTAAAATGTCATATATGTCGTCAAATGTTTAAGGATCCAAGAACATTATTCTGTTTACATTCATTTTGTTTTCAATGTTTAGTTAATGAAAATTATAGCCAAGATGCAAGTATACCATTTTGGTCACATCCATCAGATCAATCAAAAACTTCATCTGAATGGAATAACGGTAAGTATTTATATTAAATGTAATATAATAAAATCAGATCTGAATTTAGACTAGGGCAATTCTCAAAATCAAAAATTTACAAGCATTACAATTTTAGTAAAATGAGCAAAAAATTAATAATAACTATAACAAGTTTTGAATAACATCCAATTCAATTTTTTTAATTGCTCCAAAAAATTATAAAAATGGGGGAAAACTATCTCAAATGAAAAAAAATTGAAACGTGCAGAAAATATACGGTTAATTGGTAAACGAATCCAAATAATTTACTTAGAATTTTTTATAATGCTTGATTAAGTTCCATTAAAAATTATAACGTATTTTGTTCGGGAAAGCATTATTGAAAATTTCCGTTATTTATTTAAGGCTCTAAATGTGTTTTCGCTCTTTCAAAAAATTCCATCAGCTTAGGGCGCCTAACATATTAAATACGGCTCTGTATATAATACAAATTGTTTAAAAAACCTCATTTCTATACATTTAACCTGTTATGTATTTACATCCATACCTAGATTATGTAAATATTTTCTGTTTCTTTTCATTGTCTACCTGTATAAACCAATAAAAACAATGTTTTGTTATTCGAAAATTTTTAATCCGTTTAGTTTTTAATAATGAAATTCTCAAAACCTTTACTAGTCATACCAATACTCAAAAAATTTGCTACTATTGTGGTAGTAAAGGTATTATTAAATTGTTCAACAATATATAATATACGTTAATGAATAAGTTACACGCTAAAGTATTTTAATACTTAATATAGATCTGAGCTTAACTTGACCTATTCAATATAATAATTATACCCGTACGAACGTATGTTCGAAGGGTATAATAAATTTGCCTTACCGTTTGTAACGCTAAGAAATAATGCTCTGAGAAATGGACTGAAGTGTATTTTTTTGCTCAGCGTCGAATTCTAAGTTGATTTAGATTTGTCCGTCCGTCCCAGCGATACTTCAAAAACTAATTGAACTAAAATCGACAAATTTTCACAAATGATTTATTGTAGTAAGTGCCAGAATCCTATTTAAATTGGGCATGATTGGGGTACTGGTTCGGGTAGCTGCCACACAACTTCAAAATTTATTTGACTATTTTTCAGAAACTATAAAAGCTGTGATATTGAAATTTTACAAAAACGAATATATTAGTAGGGCTAATGTGTCTGATAAAAGTCGTTAAAATTACTTGGCTCTTTCTGGTAGCTGCCATATAACGTCAATAGTAGTAAGGCAAACACTGTATTTTAAAAACACACAATACTTAAAATTTGCAAATTTTGACAAAATCAACTCTATTTTTTCACGTTTTAATTTGAAATTAATTTGCATTTTCGTAAACGCCCAGATATTCCTTAAATTTTATAGACTGATCATGTATCTTGGTTTTTACTCGCTAAATGAGAAGAAAGTGACTAACTATCAAACTGAAAAAATTAGTATAATCTTATTTGAAAAATTAAATATCCCTTAAGAAAAACGCGAGCGCATTCTAATTTGAAAGTGAATAAAAAGTGAAATAAAAAACGAAATATACGGACCGTGTTAGTAGTGTCACATAAAATGCGAGATTTACAATTAGGCTGTTAATAATTTTTAATCGACAAACTATTAACCGTGTTAATAGTTATTGCCATTTTCACTTATATTTCTTCCCTTCTTGTCTTGTTATTGCCTCTTTTTCAACTCTGACATAATTATGTCACAATACCCTAGAAAATTCAGTTGTGTTGTGATGTGAAATGAAAAGTATCAAATATATTTTCGTTAATACCAAAAAGGTCTACTACGAAAACTTCTAAAAATTACAGTAATTTAATTTAATAATATAAGAGCAATGGAATATACTCGTAACAGAGTAAAAGAATTCAAAAAACAAAAAAAATTATTTATTTCTTACACAATGATAAAATTTTGATATTTTTATTTTTATATAATTATTAAAATATTTTTCTTTAACATAATAATATTTTATATTTTAAGAAGCTTTTATAACAATTACAAAAACAAAAAAATTTCTTTAAATTTTTTAATGTACAAAATGGAATTGTTTAACACTTAAATATTTTAAATACCCATATTGGCATTGATATTACATTTAAATACTTTTCTTTTCTATATTCTTTTCTTTTCTCTATAATATATATATGTATATAGCTATAGATAAAATATTCTTTAACAAATAGTATTATTAAAAAGATTATAACATCTATTGTACGTTTGTTGATTTTTTTCTTTTGCTTTCATATAATTATTTACCCAATGTGCTGTTAAATGTAAATATTTCGTTGGTTTACCCGGTAAATAATTCATATATCCACCTTTGACTCCAGCTTCTTCAATTTGTGTACCTTCACGCCAATTATTATAACTAGCAATACTTATAAATTGTGGATTCTGTGTTATTGCTGTATTCCATGCAAATCCATAATACTAAACGCATATATAAAATGGAAATAAAAAATAATTACATATAATTATGTATAGTTTTTAAAGAATATATTAAAAATAATGCGTAATGCAACTAATAAACTATATATATATAGTTGATATTAATATATAGTAAAAAATATTAAAGGTACTTATGTTATTCAATTTATTGAGAAGAAAATTTCTTGCAAAAATTATCGGAACAATAATATTATTAACAGTTTTCCATCACTTGAATAATAATTATGTAGTTCAATAATTCGGACCGATATTTTAAATGGCATATAATAAAGAAATTTCAAAAGAAATATTAATTTACCGACATACATAATATAATAAATCGCATAAAATCATCATTTGACTTGTCAGAACTTTATAGTTCAGTTCATTATTAAATAAATGAAATGAAAAGAAAATAGTAATTATGAGCTTATAATTATTATGAGATGATTGAATAAACAAAAATCTTTGCATTGTATATTCGAGATCTTTTTAATTCCTCACATTGAATTTAAGCCCATTTAATTATTATGTCAATAAGAACATATTTAATTATTTTGATCCCCTGTAAATTCACAGCTCTATTATGAATTCCACTCGTAGCGAATCCTACGAATTACAAACATAACTATGACGGAAACTTTTGAATGATGGCATATTCCTTTCGTAAAAAATTATAAATCATCAATGGCGGTATCATTTTTCGTAAAAATCAAATTCAGTATTTTATAGTAAATCAAATTCAAACAAAAAAAAAATTCAAAATTTGAATACGACCATTCTCTTTAAAATGCTTGTTACGAGTGATTATTTCTTTCGTAGATTTTTGAAAATATTTCTTACTACACAAACGTAATTTATAATTACTTCATTCCGAACAGAATTTTAATAATTCCGAATTCAGAATTTTAATTTCTGAAATTCAAAGCTACGAACGGAATTCATGATAGAGCTCTGTTAATCTCTAATTTTTATATCGTAAAAAAATTAACAATTACTTATATAGTATTGTTATTATTGTTAATTAAATTAGAAGCGACATCTATTGCTTTCATTTAAAAATATACTTCTAAAAAAAAAAAAAAAATGTAATTAATACTTTTCCATTGCTACGATCCTTTTCGAAACCACCATGTCTTGGTATTTTTTTTTGTGAATAACCAGGTCCAACAGTTGGTATAAAAATCATTTGATTAGATTTTGCATATCTTGATAAATGACCCCAATTTTTCCATGTTGATGCATAAAAAGCTCCATTACTTGGCATTTTTGAATAAAAACCATCAAAACATAATCGTTTAACAATATCAGTATGTTCTTTTAATCTAAAAAAAAATTAAATATATATAGAATATATAGAAGGTAATTAATATTTATTTTTTATACCTTATGTGAGCAATCAATATGATATCATCATATAATTCATCTAAATTAATTAATTTTTTAATACATGATGTTGGTTTATTGTCTGGTATTTGAATTTTATATGCATCAACAACATATATTAATGGTATATATTTTTCTTTTTTAATTGAATATACTTTATAAATACCATTTTTATTAAAATATATTTTTAATGTATTTATAATATCATTTAAATATTCAATTGTACGATTACGATTAACATTTATTTCAAATGTTATTGATATATTATATTTTGGCACCAATTTAAATAATTTATCTAATAATTTAATACGTAATGTATTACTTGAATTTAATTCAACAACTAATACACCAATACCAGAATTATGTATTGTATTTAAATGTTCACGTAATATACGATTATCTTGTTTATATGGGCCACGTAATGGATAATATGCTGTATCTAATATTGATTTATTAATATTACGTTTTGATAATATAACATTATTATTATTATTATTATTTGTTATATTTGTTATACTATTTTCAATTTCATTAGTATCTTTTAATAATTCATTTGATAATAATTTTTGTCCATTTATATCTTCTTTATACCATGAAACTGGTAAATTATAAAATATATGAATATGTTGTGAATTTTTTTTTAATTCAATTATTCTATTATTATTGTTATTATTATCATCATCATTATTATTATTATTTCTATTACCTTGTGTTAAATATTTTATTTTATCTTTAATTAATCTTTGTTTAACATTATAATCATTATATTTTTCTGGTATTAATGGTATTTTATTATGTTGATTTTGTTGATTTTTTTTTTTTTTTAAATTTTCATGATGTTTTTCTTGATATTCTTTTTCATCATCATTATCATTTTGTTGTTGTAAATTATTATCATTATTATCATTATTATTATTATTACTATTATTAATTTCTTTTGAATTTTTTATATCAATATCTTGTTGAAATTGTATAATTTCATGATGATGTACAACTTTTGAATTTACGGTAACTTGTTCAGCAATTGGTTTATCAAATTTTAAAAATATTACAGTTAATATTATTAAAATAAAATTAATTAATAAAAGAAAAATTTTAAATTTTTTTTGATTTATCACATATTTTCTGAGTATCATGTTTTCTTTATAATATTCATATATTTTGGCATTGCGTTAAAATTTCAGATTTTGAATGAAAAATAATGAAAATTTTAAAAATAAAAAAATTTATTTTTTTTCTATATTAATATAGAATCCTTTTTTTTTTTGTTTTATTTTAATTTTATTGTTATCACAATTATTTTATTTGCTTTATTAATTTTAATTTTATATAAATATTTTTTTTTCATTGCACATTAAACACATACAAAATAACAATGAAAAATTAAATGAATGTAATTTATAAAATATGAAAGCTTTCAAATACATAAAAAAAAAAAAAAAAATGTGAAAATGTAAAATTGACAATTTACATTGACAACATACATATGTATGTATGTATATATTCGAAGAGCGCATGTAAGAAAATAAAATTGATAATAAATATGATAAAAATTTGTTTATATAAGTTTTGTTCAAACTAATTATAAGGTATCATGTTCAGAAAATGTTAAGTAAAATATTGAGCATCAAACAACTTGATATTGACACCAGTAGTAATTGACAGAAATTGACGAAAACGAGAAAGCTAAGAAATGCTTGTTAAACATACTTTCTATATATATAAAATGGCAGTATAAGCATCTGTCAAATATGTCAAAAATTCTAATTGACAGTATTGTCAATAATATTTTAAATTGTTATTTTATATTTTGCAATTAAAAGTAAAAGCGAAATTATTAAATTTTTCTTAAAATTTTTGATTTTCTGCTTAAATATCAAAATTTCGTAATTATTTCAAATACGTAATATAAATATTATCAACAAATATGTGTACATTATGTATGTACATTTAAATATGCAATATTTTCTATGTATTTTATAAAAAACGAGAAAAAATAGAGTTCACATTGTCAACTCTGTGATGCCCGTACGAATTTGTTATCATATCCTACGTGCGAATAAATAAGCCATAACTGACTATGGGACGGACAATGACTTTAAATTGCCATATTGCAGTACTGTGTTTTTCAAAATACTGTGTGTGCCAAACTACTATTGAAGTTGTACGGCAGCTACCAGAAAGAGCCAAGAAATTTTAAAGAATTTTATCAAGCACATCGGCCCTACTAATATATTCGCTTGTGTAAAATATCAATATTACAGCCTTTATAGTTTCTGAGATATAGTCAAATAAATTTTGAAGTTGTATGGCAGCTACCCGAACCGGTACCCCGATCATGTTTAATTTAAATAGGGTTCTGGCACTTACTACAATAAATCATTTGTGAAAACTTGGTGAACTTAGCTCAATTAGTTTTTGAGTTATCGTTGGGACGGACGGACAGACAAAGCTAAATCAACTCAGAATTCGACGCTGATCAAAAACATACACTTGAGTCTATATCTAAGACAGTTATTTCTCAGCGTTACAAAAGGTAAGGCAAATTTAGTATACCCTTCGAACATACATTCGTACGCGTATAAATATCTTGCACTATTAAAAAATTTCAAATATGGCATATTAACAATATAAATTTAGATTTATTGGAATACAACAATTTATAACGAAACTTATTCAATAATTTTACAACTGTCATACTCTCAATTTGTTACAAACGAAAACTTAATTTTGACATATCATATAACGCAGTTTACATTCTATACCAATTCAAAAGAAACATACATATGTGTATTCGTATGTATATGAAGACATGCGTACATTAAAATACTACTACAAAATAGAAAAGCTCTTCTCTTATAAGTTTATTCATAAAAAAAAAAAAAATTGTACAAATTTAAAAAAAAAAAACCCCTTCAAATAAAGTATCTTATGAGGGTAAAAACATGTGCCGCTTGAACCTTTACAAATTAATATAAAATGCAAGTACATACCATATTGGGATTTCCTGACAACATTCAAATTTTTTTTTTCTCTTTACTTGTTTTCATTCAATGAACATAATATTTTACATAAATACCAGCATTTATGTAAAATATATACATATATAAAATTGTATATGTATATTGTATACATATATAAGATTGTATATGTATATATACAACACAAATACATAAACAAAAATATTGGCGTTTTACCATTGAGTATTGTTATTTTGTCATTATAGAAAACAAGTAGAAAAATTGAATTTTTCTATATTTATTTTATTTAATAAAAATAAAAGAATATGCCAATTCTCAAGAGTCAATGTTTGTATATATAGACTGTCATAATACGTCTATATATAAGTCTATAATATATATGTATAATAATCATATAATTGCGTATGTATGCATCTTGGTCAATATATATACGAGTATGTATATGATTTATTGGCGCCAAAATATTATTACTTTGTATTATAAATAATATTATATTATTATGTATTTACATAATTTACAATATTTCAATTGATTTACATATATTTCTATATATAATATCCCCGGGAATTATACATATTTTAATATAATATTTTATTATAAAATATTATGTGCATTATATAAATTGTTAAGAGAATTAAATTTTACGATAAGTAATTGGAAATTTATTAAATATTTGTTATAATTTATGTATATGTATTTATAGTAAAAATAAATTTCAGATAAAATCCTTAAATATATCATGATTATTTTATGCTTCTTAGCATATAGATATTCTAATAGAAGAATATCATAGAAGAACCTTGTAAAGTAATCCTAGTAAAATCTATAAAAAACGAGAAAAAATAGAGTTGACCTTGTCAAGTATGTGATACCCGTACGAATTTGTTATCCTATGTTCGAATAAAGATGACATAACTGACTATGAGACAGACTATGACTTTAAGTTGCCGTATTACCATATTAATTTATGCAAAATTTTAGTATTATGTTATTTAAAATACTGTGTGTGCCAAACTACAATTGAAGTTGTATGGCAGAGAGAGCCAAGAAACGTGAACGACTTTTATCAAGCACATCGGCCCTACTAATATATTCGTTTTTGTGAAATTTCAATACCACAGCTTTTATAGTTTCTGAGATATAGTCAAATAAATTTTGAAGTTGTATGGCAGCTACCCGAACCAGTACCCCGATCATGTCCAATTTAAATAAGATTCTGTCACTTACTACAACAAATCATTTGTGAAAATTTGGTGAACTTAGCTCAATTAGTTTTTGAGTTGGGACGGACAGGCAAATCTAAATCAACTCAGAATTTGACGCTGATCAAAAACATATACTTGAGTCTATATCTAACACCGTTATTTCTTAGCGTTACAAACGGTAAGGCAAATTTAGTATACCCTACGAACATACGTTCGTACGGATATAATAAGTTATAAATTATTCTAAATTAAGTTCTGTAATATTAAATATCGAAGATTTTTCGGCATTTTGCAAACAAACTACAGCCTGCCGTAGTTTTGCCTTTATATTATAATGGGCCTGTATCGTCTATCTCGTTATTTTACTCGGAAAGTAAGAAGGAAGTGAGTAACTATCGTATATACTTGTATAATATAGTATACAATACAAGTGAGAAGAATTATTTGGTATTGCATATGTCGTTTTATTCTAACATGCATATACAAAACTTATTCACTTTGTTTTTGAAAGTGAGACGTTCAGTTAATAATTTTAAAAAATCCAATTAAAAATATGAGTAATCTTATAGAAAATACTGAGAATTCTAGTGAATAAAAAATGAAAAAGTGAATAAAAAATGAGTAAAAAAGCGAGATCAGGCTGTAAATATTGAATGTTATCCATATTTATTGCTTTATTTTTGTTGGTATACCGAATATTATGGATATATGGGCGATTATTTTTACATAAGCATTTTATATTTATAACATTGTATACTATATAATAAGCAATATAATATATTATTGCAATTATTATAGTAATCTAACTACAGTTTGAACCTGAGGTCCTTTGGTTGAAGAGGTAACGGTATAGCCACTGCACCCATGGCCGTTAGATCACACAACTCAGCTTATGAGTTGTAAATTGTAATTACATACATTGAGAATTATTATAATAAATGCAGTTATTGCTGCAATTTTGAAATTATAAAAATATTAGATATAATAAGGTCTACGATAATAGGCAGAGATTATATTTAGTAACCGGGTAAAAATTAGATCCATTATAACTTTTAAACGATTGTAATACAACTATTCGCTCATATTAGTCTACTACAGGACATTTTCGTCTACTTCAGTAAACTAGTAAATAAGGTTTTAAAAACTAACAGGGAAAATAAAATACCTTAAATACAGAATGTCAATTATATGAAGTAAAAAATAATAAATTTGGAATTATAATAAATTTATTTGTGCCTACATTACATACATATACACTATACTCGTAATATGTTATTAAAGATTCGTCAAAATATTCAAAATTTTTAAAATCTGACAATCAAAATATAAATATTAATTTGACTACTCGTATAAAAATCATAATTTTTAATAAATTTTCTTGTTTTAGCTCAATCAAATTTTAATGGAAGCAGTTTAAAATCAACATCTTTTATGTCTGGAGCAATTGAATCAGAATACGATGGTTCAAAATATCGATCACATGATAGTCGTCATTCTCACAATAATACTAAAATAAATCGAAAATCAACAAAAGAGAAATCAACTAAGTGAGTAATATAAAAATAATTAAGATACTCTAGCATTTAGAATTGCTTAGACATTGTTTTCGAATCACTTTAAATTTTCTTCAAATATCAAGAAGAAAATATTAATTTTTTCATAATATTCATAATATTATTATTTAAAAATTAATAAATATTAAATTTTATTACATAAATTATAGAGGACAAAGCAACAAACATGGAACTGAACGTGCCCAATATATTGTTTGTTCAATATGCCAATTTTGTACTGAAATACCAATTGGTGGAATTAGAAATTTACCACAAAATTTCATTTTAAGTAGAAAAATTGAAGAGATATTATTACAAATTGGACATGATACAATTTCAAATATTTGGTGTAGTTTATGTTACGATGAAATGCCTGTATGTATTTTAGATTCAAAATATTATAATTGCCATAAATAATTTTTTTTGCATATATTTAGGCAACATATCACTGTTTGAACTGTATAACAAATTTATGCAGGTAATTTGAATTTTAATTTAATTTAATTAAGGTCATGAATTATTTGTTAAATTGCTACATAAGCTAATTCACATTCAAGACATCTTCTGTAATTTTATTACAATTTTTTAATTTCGAAAATTTTACAGTTTTTGTAAAGAAGCACATGAAAGACAGAAATCAACTGCTTCTCATACTATACAAAATTTATTAGATTTACGTAAAACGTCTAAAGAAAAATCACCAATGGATGTTGCAAAATTTAATATTATGTGCTCTTTGCATCCCGGATTTGAATTAAAATTCTTTTGTGGAAATTGTCAACAGGTGACAAAATTAACAATAATAGCAAATATTTTGAGCTTTATTTGTATGAAACAATATTATATTCTTTATTTTGTATAGCTTATATGTAGTGATTGTTCAGCACTTTTACATAAAAATCATAAAATCGATCCAGGTTTAAAAGTTATAAAACTTTGTACAAAACTATTAAAAGATACAGCAGATAAAACAAAACCACTCTGCGAATACACTGATCAATCAATATCTAAATTAGCTGGAATATCCAGAAGAATTAATGAAAGATGTAATCAAGTACAGAATGATGTTGATAATTTTATGGCAGCATATTTTGAAGCGTTAGAAGTACATCGTAGAACATTATTACAACAAATAGCAAAGGCAAGAGAAACTAAAATGCAAATGATTCTCGAGCAACAAATTGAAATGGGTAAAAAATTTTTATATAGCTAGAGAATTTTCTAAAATAAAGCTAATTGAGTTCTAATTTATTGTGAATATGTATATAGAAAAAAGATCTTCCGAAGCGAAAGCCGCTGTTGAATTCTGTCAAGAATTATTAGATAAGGGAACTTATGGAGAAATTTTGTCTTTTATGAATATTTTAATGAAACGCCTTGATTTTTGTCAAAAATATAAACCACCATTGGATACGAAAATTTCAGATTCTTTGCACTTTTTATGTGATATACGAGCACCTTCAACAAAAGCTCAAAATGATATACCTTTATATGGAATCATTACAACTCAAACTGTTGAGCCCCAATTCTGTACAATTGAATCAGAAGGTTATATTATATATTTACATAAATTTTACCAAATATAATTTCAATACTATTTTAATTCTTATGTATTTAGGTCATTCTAATTTGAGAGTTCATAAACAAGTTGATTTAGTTTTGTTATCAAGAGATAGCGATGCTGTACCATTATGTCATGGTGGTTTAACAATAGATGTTCAATTAAAATATAAGGATAATCCGTCAAAACTCCTAGAAGTTCAAATAAGTGATAAACGTGATGGAACCTATGTAATAAGTTTTGTTCCTGAATATGCTGGATTAATGATTTTATCAATTATGATTAAAAATAAACCAATAAAGGTAATTTTTTTAAGTGTATCCAGTATTCAACTATATATTGCAATACACACCTATTAAAATTATATACTTACTTACATACCCATATTTATTTTTAGGATAGTCCTTTTACTTTACATGCCCGAACACTGAGGCCCCATTCTGGAATATTCCATTGCTGTACATTTTGTTCTAGTAAAGGTTCCAAAACAGCTACCTGTGCTTGTGGAGGTGTCATGAATGGTGGATATAAAGGTTGTGGACATGGTCACACTGGTCATCCAGGCCGAAGACACTGGTCTTGTTGCGCTAATACAGTTGAGAATTCAGAATGTACAACAGCTAATCAATTCTAATACTAAAATCGATACACAAATTGAATTTGTAATTTCAATAATTATCAAATATTTTGAATTAAGAATGTATCCAACTATATGGGGTTAATAAGTTGTAATGTGAATAAATATAAAAATGCTATTCATACGTACATACCTACATTTATTAGATGTCTTTTAAAGGTTACTCTATTCTAGTGAATAATGATTTGACTGATGAAAACAACTAAGTATTGATTATAAAGAAACCGAATAAAAATTCTGTTGATACTTCTTCAATCATTTATCGCGTTCCGTTGGCATAAAAAGAGTAGTTAGGCGTAATTGCCCAATGGAACGGGGGAAAAATAACCTAAAATTTTTGTAGAGTCAAAGATTTGACCTTAAATTTAAAAAAATCAGCTTCATATCTAATTTGTCATTAGTAAAGTAAAGTGGAAAAATATTAAATAATTTTTTTAGTTAATAGATTAATTAAAAAATAAATTTTTAAAGTGACTATTTGTCAACTTTCCCAAAACAGTGTAACCAACCTAATAGTGAATAGAGCGTAATGATATTGGTTTTATTGTAAAATATTTTCCATCTATCGATAAAAAAATATATCCATCTATTGTGCAATATTCGAACTAAGGCTACTTGTAGGAAAAATGTATGTATGTAACTATATGGCATGTACGTTCCACAAAAATTTTGTTTTTACTACGCTCTTATAGAAGAAGTTAGAAAATTTCTTGATCTAATGGCGACATCTAGTGACAATTCTTTTTCTTTTATTGTTAATACAATAATTGTATTGTTAATACAATACAACAAAGCGACAAAATGTCAAAATATTCCTCTGACATAACTTTTAAGCATGTATTTGACAAAACAATATTCTGTATTTAATAGATTTAATCCAAACAAATGACAAGAGTAGCGTTGTTTTGTTTTGCTATTTAGTATTATATTTGTGAATTTGAATTTCCTGAAATCAACAAAGTATAATATTAGTATATCAGATTTGCAATTAGAAATAAAAACTTTTTCAAAATGAAGATGAAATTAATAGATCCTGTAGTTCGTAGTTTTAAAGTGGCAAAGGTATTTCGAGAGAATACAGATAAAATTAATGCAATAGACTTTTCACCAAATGGAGAACATCTAATATCTTGCAGGTAAATAAATTTCGATTTGTTTTAATCTTAATAATTTAACCTAATAATTATTTTCATAAAAACTTTTAGTGAAGATGATCAAATCGTAATTTATGATTGTGAAAAGGGAACACAATCAAGGACAGTTAATTCTAAAAAGTATGGGGTTGATCTAATACATTTTACGCACGGTAATAATACAGCTTTGCATAGTTCAACTAAAGTTGATGATACTATACGCTACTTAAGCCTTCATGATAATAAATACTTACGATATTTCCCTGGACATACAAAAAAAGTAATTTCATTGTGTATTTCACCGGTTGAAGATACTTTTTTGTCGGGTTCACTGGATAAAACATTACGTTTGTGGGATCTTAGATCACCCAATTGTCAAGGTCTTATGCATTTGTCCGGTAGACCAGTAGCGGCTTATGATCCTGAAGGCTTAATCTTTGCTGCTGGTGTAAATTCAGAAAGTATTAAATTATATGATTTACGTTCATTCGATAAAGGACCATTCGTCACATTTAAATTGAATCAAGAAAAAGAATGTGATTGGACTGGTTTAAAATTTTCTAGAGATGGAAAAACAATTTTGATAAGTACAAATGGTTCTATAATAAGACTTGTTGATGCTTTCCATGGAACACCTCTTCAAACCTTTGCTGGATATCCGAATAATAAAGGGATTCCGATTGAAGCATCATTTAGCCCTGATTCGCAATTCATATTTTCGGGTAGTACGGATGGTCGCGTTCATTGCTGGAATGCAGATACTGGATTCAAAGTATGTGTTTTAAAAGGTGATCATCCTGGACCCGTACAATGTGTGCAATTTAACCCGAAATATATGATGTTAGCATCGGCGTGCACAAATATGGCATTTTGGTTGCCAACTGCTGAAGATTAAAACCATAACTGTAACAACTTTTTTAAAAATAATATAAACATTTTATTTAAAAAAATAAAATTTTTAAGACAAATTTTATGTATTGTCGCTTTTATATTTTTCTACAAGTTCTTTGATTTTTCCTAAAAATAATCCTATATTTGTCCCATATTTTCCACTTATTCCTAAAATTTCTATTTTTACTTGCTTTTCTAAATCTTTTATATTTTCGATTGATCCCGGCAAATCAATTTTATTTGCTACTATAAGCTTCGGTCTTGCAGCTAATTTCTTACTAAATTGTTCTAATTCAAAAATTAGGGTTTTGTAGTGTGAATATAAATCTTCATACGAAGCGTCCATAACAAAAACCAAAATTGGACAACGTTCTGCGTGTTTTAGAAATTGAATACCAAGTCCTCTGTTTTTATGCGATCCTGGAATCAACCCTGGAAGATCAGCCACCATTACTTGTGAAAAATCTGAGTAATGTACAACTCCTATATGGGGCTTCAGAGTGGTGAATGCATAAGAAGCTACTTTTGGACGTGCTCTTGATATTGCTTGCAAAAGTGTACTTTTCCCAGCATTGGGAAATCCAATAAATCCAACGTCGGCCATAGTCCGGAGCTCTAAGTGATATTTAGCTTCCTCTCCACGAGCACCTAAGAAAATTGTTATTATTATTAACCAATTTTTGACATTTCGTACTATGCAATTATATTTACCATATTCACAAATTTCCGGAGCCTGCTGAGTATCGGATATGAAAAAATGGTTTCCTCTACCACCGGCACCTCCCCTTGCAGCAATAAAAGACAATTTTTCTTTATATAAATCAGCTACAATTTTCTCATTTCTTTTTACAATTGTTCCAACTGGAATTTTTATCGTAGTATGTTTTGCATTTTTCCCGTGACAATCTTTATTTGCACCTTTCTCTCCTTCACCTGCACGAATAAGACTACCCACGTGATTGAAATTATTAACTTCTCTACTCGCCTCAAAAATTATATGCCCGCCATTTCCTCCATCTCCTCCATCCGGCCCGGCATATTCGTTTGCCCACAGTGATAAAAAAGATATACAACCATCACCACCTTTTCCACCAATAACGCTAACATATTTTGAATCTGTAAAATATCTGGGCTAAAAATTAAACAGTTTTCTTTTATTATTTTTCGAAGAAATATGTTTATAAATTTTTTCAATGTTTATTTCAAACCTCTTTCGACTTTGATTTGAGTTTTGTAGGCCTTAATGCTACAACTGCAGGATATTGAGCACTTTGAGAGTAATGCAGGACATGTTTGACAATTTTTAAAATATTTCTTGAATTTCTTGAAAATAACATTGAAAAATAACACAGTTTTTGTATAAAACTTAAAGGAAAACGAAAATTTTCCTATTTTTCTCGTTATAAATATTTATACATACTGTCAAATATTTAGGTTAGAATTACTCAAAACAGCTGGGCAGCTATATCAACAAAATTTGACAACTTTGTTGTATTTTTTACAGCGTTACCAAGTAGAAAATAAAATTGTTTAAACATGTAAATGTAATGAAAATTTATACATTTTCGTTTCAAAATTCTAATATTTTTAATTGAGAAATTGTTGACAAGTAATTATTGGTTTGGACATGTAAAAAAAATAAGTGTTAACGAAATTAACTAGTTTTTTGAAAATACATTTACTTCTAGTAATACTGCAGAGACATCTTTTATTAAGTATAGCTGGTATCCTTCATGGTAAACAGCAGTTGTAAATAATTTTCTTCTCTAAATTTACAATACCATTCCTTTTCCATTGGTTAACCTTCACAAGCGAGTTAAGAGCTGTGAAATTGTAGCTAAACGTGCGATTCGTCATCATATTTATTCAATAATATTTTATTGATATTTATTTTTTCACAATTAAAGTATAAAAATAAGAAAGGTGAGTAAATTTTTAAAGAAAAAAATCAATATTTTTGTCTAACCAAACTTTGCTTTCGTGGCCTAAATTTCATCATTAATCAATGAATTTGCATAATGTATTTTTTTATCTCTTCTTATTGGAATACTAATCACATTTTTGCATTTCTCTTTTAGAAATGGAATCGAAAAGCGCTAAAGAAATTAGGCAATTGTACATGGATTTTTTTAAAGAAAAAGATCATATTTACGTTCATTCTTCCTCAACAATCCCACATGATGATCCTACATTGTTGTTTGCTAATGCTGGGATGAACCAATTTAAGCCCATTTTCTTAGGCAATGTAGACCCTCATAGTGATATGGCAAAGTGGGTTAGAGTTGCTAATACTCAAAAATGTATTCGTGCTGGGGGAAAACATAACGATTTAGATGATGTAGGCAAAGATGTATACCACCACACTTTCTTTGAAATGTTAGGGAATTGGTCATTTGGAGATTACTTTAAAAAAGAAATTTGTACGTGGGCTTGGGAGTTTTTAACTGAACGTATGCAATTGCCAAAAGAAAGATTATATGTTACTTATTTTGGTGGAGATAAGGAAGCTGGTTTAGAACCTGATTTAGAATGCAAAGAAATATGGATGAAATTAGGAATTAAGCCAGAACATATTTTGCCAGGCAGCATGAAAGATAACTTTTGGGAAATGGGAGAAACTGGACCTTGTGGACCTTGTTCTGAATTACATTTTGATCGAATTGGTGGTCGCAGTGTTCCGGAGTTAGTAAATATGGATGATCCAGATGTCCTAGAAATTTGGAATCTTGTGTTCATGCAGTATAATCGCGAATCTGATGGTTCTTTAAAACCCTTACCAAAAAAACACATTGATTGTGGTATGGGATTCGAAAGATTGGTTTCTGTTATCCAAAATAAAAGATCAAATTATGATACTGATTTATTTGTACCATTATTCGAAGCTATTCAAAAGGGAACAAATGCTCCCCCATATCAAGGCCGTGTTGGAGCCGAAGATACAGATGGTATTGACATGGCTTATCGTGTTTTGGCTGATCATATTAGAACTCTTACAATAGCTTTATCTGATGGTGGAATGCCTGACAATACAGGACGCGGTTACGTACTTAGAAGAATTTTAAGAAGAGCCATTAGGTAAACTTATAAAAATTTTTAAAATTATTTCACATGTGTTTATTTTTGTTTTTTTAAGATATGCTACCGAAAAATTAAACGCAAAACCTGGATTTTTCGCTACTTTAGTAAATTCTGTAGTCGACTTATTAGGAAACGCGTTTCCTGAAGTCACAAAAGATCCACAAGCAATCATGGACGTAATAAATGAAGAGGAACAACAATTTCTAAAAACATTAACAAGAGGTAGAAATTTACTTTACAGGACCATAGCAAAATTAGGCAACCAAAAAATTCTCCCTGGAGATATTGCTTGGAGATTATATGACACTTATGGCTTTCCGATTGACCTTACAAGGCTAATGGTGGAAGAAAAAAATTTAGAAATCAATATGGAGGAATATGAAAAGGCGAAACACAATTCTTATATTTTATCTCAAGGAAAAGGCGACAATAAGGAAGATGAGATCAATCTAGATATGTATGCAATATCCGAACTACAAGAAAAAGCTATCGCACCAACAGATGATAAATTTAAATATCGCTATAAAGCAAGTTCAGACGAAAAAGATGGTTTTTATGATTGCGAAACTTGTGAAGGGAAGGTTGTTGCATTAAGGTTAGGAAATACTTTTGTTGAAGAAGTTGTTTCCGGCCAAAAATGTGGGATTGTATTCGACAAAACGAATTTCTATGCAGAAAGTGGGGGCCAAATATATGATCAAGGCGTAATAGTGAAAAAAGAAGACGAAGGAACTGAATTTTTCGTTGATCGTGTTTTTAACCGAGGTGGATATATTTTGCATATTGGGGTTGTTGAAGGAACTTTGAGAATAGGTGATGAAGTAAACATGCAAATTGATCAAATACGTAGAAATTTAACAATGAAAAATCACTCTGCCACCCATGCTCTTAATCATTGTTTACTTCAAGTTTTGGGTAAAGACACGGATCAAAAAGGCTCATTAGTAGTTCCAGAAAAACTTCGTTTTGATTTTAACAGTAAATCTGCATTAACAGTTGAACAAGTTTCAAAAATTGAGAGTCTCGCAAGAGAAATCGTCTACAAAAATATGCCAATTTATGCAAAGGAGGCCTCGCTTTCAGTAGCAAAGACTATTAAAGGCTTGAGATCAGTTTTTGACGAGGTATACCCAGACCCAGTACGCGTAATTTCATTTGGTGTTCCCGTTGAAGAGCTTGAGAAGGATCCTGACAGCGGCAGAGGGGAGGCAACTTCAGTTGAATTTTGTGGTGGAACACATTTACATCGTTCAGGTCATATTGTTGAATTCGTTATAAGTAGTGAAGAAGCTATAGCAAAAGGTATTCGGAGAATAGTGGCTTTAACTGGGCCAGAAGCACTCAAAGCCATCAAAAAGGCAGAACAGTTTCAACATGAAATTAATACTCTAAAACAATCTATTGAAAATGATAAAATGGGGAGCTCGACAAAAGAACATGTTAAGAATATAGTCGAGTTAATAGATAACATATCTCAAGCTCAAATTTCCTATGTTAATAAAGATGAAATGAGAAATTGTTTGAAAAATTTAAAAAAAAGTTTGGATGACAGAGAACGTGCAATAAAAGCAACACAATCACAAAATGTAATCGAGAGAGCTAAAGAAATTGCTCAGGCAAACATCAATGCGGACTTCTTAGTAAAAGAGTTACAAGCTTTTAATAATACTAAAGCTCTAGATGCTGCTTTAAAACAAGTACGAACAATCAGTCCAGAAACGGCTGCAATGTTTGTTTCAGTTGATCCAGATTCCAAAAAGATATTTTGCCTTTCATCAGTGCCTAAGTCAAAAATCGAAAAAGGTCTTAAAGCAAACGAATGGGTGCAACACGTTTCAGTAGTAATGAATGGTAAGGGTGGCGGAAAACCTGAATCAGCTCAGGCTTCGGGATCAGATTATGATAAATCAAACGAAGTTTTAAAATTGGCTGCCGCCTTTGCTTCTGCAAAACTATCTTAAATTAAAACTGCAAAAATTTACCAATATTGTGCTGTAATATTGTAAAACTTATTTATTAGCATTTAAAAGGCGTTTTTTTTATATGAAAGAAAATAAATTTCTCAAAGTTCAAAACTATATAATATTATAATTTTCAATCCATTTTACAGCACTAGCAAAGTTGTCAAGAAGAGCTGTAGGTTGTACAGGTATTTCAGCGTCTGGAAGATATTTTCCTGTTTTAACTAATATAGCTTTCATACCAATATTCATTGCACCAGCGACATCATCATTAGCATCCTAAAATTAAAAAAGGTTAAATAAAATTCTTTTTTATAAAATGTTTTACAACATCTCCAATCATAACACATTCCCCGATTTGAATTCCATCGGGAACAGCTTTCTCAAAAAAGTATCTATTTGGTTTTCCTATAACAGTAGCATTTTTTCCAGTAACATATTCCAATCCTTTTACAAAACATCCTGGTCCCAAAGCAAGACCATCATTTCTTTTATAATATTTTCCTTGGTGAACAGCCACTAATGGATATTCTTTGTTTTTTAAAAGGATACTGTAAAAGTATACTTTTGTAGAGGATAATATATATAAATTTTCCTATTGCTAATTTTATTACATACTTAAACGCTTTATTTAAGCATTCGTAATGAAAACTTTCCGGAGCTAAACCTACTACCACGGAATTGCATTCATTCTCTAATGATTGTGGAGGAAAATCTTTTTTTGCATCTTCAGATAATAAATAAAATGGTTTTAGATTGGCATCTTTAACGAAATCCCGAGCAGCACTCAAAGAGCTATAAATTTCTTCTTTCTCAAGCTTAAATCCAATTTTAATTAGACGATCATATAGCGTTTGTGAAGATTCCTTTGTGGTGTTCGTAACAAATTTAATTTGAATTCCAGTTTTTCGTAATCTTCAAAATTAGACAGATTTTAATGCCTTCCATAATCTAGTCTTACAGAATTTACCTTTCAAGAGCTTCAACCGAGCCTGGTGTTTCATTATCTAAAAAATTTTAAAAATTAACAAAACTTTTGAACTCAGAAATAAATTTTTAATTACCTTCAACATGTAATGTACCACTTAAATCTATTAATGCTGCTTTAATACTCATTTTGTTTAAAATAGTTCTAGATCCTAATCTTGCCAGTAACATTAAGCATTAAAATATGAATGAAATTATGTGTTTTATTAATTTGACACTTTCTAATTGATTCAATTTAATGTATGAATGGCGTGAATGTGTTGTACATATACATAAATCATGTTAAATCATATTTGGTACATTTGCTAATTCTCTGAATGCAAATTCCGACGTAACAAATTTTCCTGTCTAAATTTTTCTACAAGACATACAGTGCTTTCTATAAATAATTGTACAAAACAGTTTTCATGAGAAAATTATTATTCTTATTTAATTCAAGTACAAAAGAAATTAAATTAAGACAGAATTATCTGAATATCAACGAAAATTTAAATACAATTTAAACATTAATAAACTTAAAAAAACTAAACTAAATTTCTTCTTCTGTAATAAAACCGCTTTGAATAAGTTTTTAAGAGAACGACTGTATATCTTCTTTCTAAAGATAATCAAAAAATGTCTATTTCTTGTTTTTCTTGTTACTCTGCTCTTTTATATTTTCTAATTTTTTTGAGATACTTTACACCAGATGGCTTCCTACTTTTATGCCAACAGTTGTCAAAATTACCGTTATCAAATGAATTTCGTTTTTTTCTGTAAACTAAGAAGACTTTGTAAAAATTTTTTAAATAATTAACTTGGAAACTTCTTAAACCTAATTTCTTGCCTTCATATTATAATATGTGATTAATTACTTCATCTTAATTATATTGTATATATAATTCAAAATTAGTAGTGATTTTATGATCCTGTAAAAAACTTGTATTGAAAATATTGGAAATAAAAGAATAGGTAATCATATAATTATAGCATTGTTCACTAACATTTTTAAATTTTGTATAGATATTCTTCAAATACTTCTCATTATTGATGAATCTGAGGCTTAGTAATGTCATTTTGTTACAAATAATAATTATAAAATATTATCGATACTTATTTACAATGCATAATAAGGAACCTCAATAATGGTAAATTTTCAAATTAATAAGCAAATATAATATTCTTTCCCAAAATCACTTTTATTTTTCCAAAATTGTGATTGTATATACAACATGTAAAATTTCATTATAATATGTATTTAAGAATATATATCTACACATATTTCATATAAAATATATACCTGCACCTGCTAACATATATCAAGTTTTTGCATCTTCATTTTCTTTATCAATATATTTTGTACCGGATAATCCTTTTGCAAATGGTGTCTCGCCATTTGTCTGTAAGTAATAATCTCCCGTAATGTTTAACGGACAATCTTCTCCCATATAAACTACTAAATTAGGATCTTCCTCTGGTAATATTTTTCCCGTTTTGAAATCATTCCATGATTTTGATTTAACTGCTTCAAATTTAGTTGAAAATTTATTTGATATACTTTCAGCCCAAAACCACCAAGATCTTCTATGACTTGATAAATCTTTTTAAACATTAAATATATAATATATATATAAATTTCTTAATAAAATATTTTGTACCATTGTCAGTCAGCATTTTATAATTTCTTTTAGGACAACCAGGTTGTAGAGTCTTACCACCATTTGGCCAAAAATCTGCATGTCCAGTACTACATGGAGAACCATATAACCTGCATACAAAATGTAAATATATTTTAATTATAAAAACACAATACATAATTAGTATTTTGTACATAATACAATACATAATTAGTATAGTTATTACAAATATTATATAGAGTTTATATTTAATTTTAATGTTAAAAATAAATGTGCAGAATATGCAATAACGTATTTACCACGCGTCTGTATGCATTATGTCAACAAATTTTGCATCTGTTTTACAAATATGTTTTGAATATGTATAATAAAATGGTGGGAATGCTGGATCTAAAGCTGTAATTCTGAAAAAAAAAATATAATTAAAATTTTTTTTAAATTACAAATGTTTTGGAAGGATTAAAATTGTATGCAGATATGCATGCATATATTTATATATACCTTGGAATTATTAATCTACCTTTTGTTCTATCAATAATTTCACGACCAATCATACCTGCCACCTGACCACCTAAAGAATGTCCTACTATATGAAATTTTTCTATATTTAAACCATTTTCAAACATTTCTAAAAGAACTTTTGATAATTGTGGACCTAACTGAAGTAAAAATTTAATCGGAGTTTTATTTCAAATTAATTATAAAAATTAAAAAAAAAACATCTTACTTGTTTAGCATTTGGTACTGCATCATACAAATAATTTCCATCAGCTAATTCGCCCCAATCTACTATTATAATATTTATATCAGATCTACATAAATATGCATCAGCTATTACTTGAACACTTTCAACTTCACGGTTTTCTAAATAACCATGCAAATAGAGTACAGTCTTTTTATTTTTATCAAATTTCTCATGTTGAAGAATACGTTTTCCATCATAAAAATCATATTCAGCAACATCTGATATAGCCGGCCTAGAAATTACAATGAAACACAAAATTAAATTATAATTTTAATTATTATTTGTATAAAAATTATGACATTTTTAATTACCCATAAAAATAAAGAAATTTATTTAAATTCATATCGGCTGGAGCACTTATTAAGCCCATAAGAAGTCCTAAAATTATTTCTCATACAATATTTGCACACGCATAAAATTTTAATATGAATTTTTACATAATTCTTTAACATCCGTATATACTTACTTCTTTTATTTTTTATTGCTTTCATATTTAAAGATTAACCTCTGAATTTAATTTATCTGAAATGAAATTAGAAATTATTAAAAATTTATATTAAAATAATTTTAAATCATTACAAAATTTACAATGTTTTCGTAAAAGATAAGCCCTACACGAATTTTTAAATATGTATTATAGAAAAATCTCATGATTTCCGTCAAGCAACAAAAATATTTTAACATTTCAAATCAAATTTAAAATTTCAATAATTTTATGCTTACATACATATGTAAATAAAAATATAACAAACATAATTTTGCCATTAATTACTTATGTACGTGTACATTTAAATGTTATAATTTATGCATGGTCTAATTTCTTATAATATATACACTGAATCCTTCAACACGGCCAAAGATTTTCGGTACCATAGGTCAATATTTCAATCTCAAGATCAGGGTGCATTTAGAATAATATTGAAAAAAAAAATATTTCAATTAAAAAATTTTATTAAGATTTGGGTCACCATATTTTAATTTATTGTTATGTCCCAGAAGAAAACTAATAATTTCTAGTATTACGCTATTTTTTTTTACTTTAAAATATATTTTTGTTCATATAAATATATAATGTGTTTGCAGATATGAACCAACAAAATAGACTATCGAAAATTTTCTAATACGAGTACTCCATTTAAATAAAAAAAAATAATGTAAATTTCCTCAAAAGTTATGAATTTTTTCTTGTTGGAAAAAAAAGTACAAATGTTTTCAATAATTTTCATATAAATTTTGTGAGTCTAAAATCACACCCAAAAAGCGCAAGTGAAATGTTTTTACATAAATTTTAATAGAATACATTATTAATTATTTTATATGAAATTTATTTTTGAAAAACTCCAGGAAATTGTAATTTTAATTTTGAATAGGATATTTTGTATAGAAGATGAGAATTAAGAATTTATTATATAAAATTGTCTTGATTTTTTAAAGCAAATATTTATTGGACTACAAACTATTTGACGATTAAAAATACTTTTACAGTATAAAATTTAAATTTTTTTCTAATTTTTTGATTAAACAAATTTATAGTTGCTTTTAAGAAGCTTTATAAAATGGCACTTTAAATTAAAATTGTGACTCTATGAGTCTTTGGTATCTATTAAATGAATTTATTAAAGTTGTCTTGAATTCTGAACATTTTTCTTTCCCAAATTTCCTAATATTAAAATTAAAAATTCTTCGAATAAATAAACATAAAAATTTAAAAAACCATTTTTGTGAATTTACAAAATAAATACCGAAGGTAAACTGTTATACAGATTTTTAAAAAATTAAGCTCATTCCCAACCCTGTCCTTAATTTCTATAAACATAATATTGTATAACAAAGCATGATGATTAAACGATAACATTTTTAAAAAATTTCTTAAATATTTTATAATAATTTTTTAATATATTATATTTGTATATGTACGTTTTATAAGATTCATTAAACTTAAACTCAAACCCAAATAAAAATCTTATACAATACTCGTATAATAATTTGTTATCGTTCTAAATAATCTGAATGATTATTTTGCTCTCATTTCATTTTTTCCAATTATGATTTGATTTTCCCGGTATACAAGTTATTGATAATCAAACATTATGTATGTATATATGTATAAATTATGAAAATAATATGTTCGAGGTTAGAAACAACTATGCATTTTTAAGTTTATTTAAAAGGTTTAAATCTCATTCTTTGTGGAAGCTGATAAAAGTAATTGTGACTGTACCAAATAAAAAATTTCAATAAATTTAATAGAACATATACATATGTACATAGATATATACATATAATAATATTTTTTAAATCTATTGTTTTACATAAATGTCTGAATTAATATACATTTTTTATTTCAAATACAAAGTTTATTGTTTTTAATGAAACCATGAACTTTTGATTAATTCATGAATATTTTGACTAGAATTTAAAATATTTATGAAGAATATATAAATGACGTTTCATGTACATACATTTATGCATTAAAAACAAAAAATAATTGGCACGCGAATCCGCGTATTTATACATATACATATATACGGACACACACATATAATTTCTTTATAATATGTATATGCATATAATAATAATAATAAAATTAAATAAAGATTTAAAAAAAATAGGAAATAGATGTCAAATACACGACATATATACAAACACAAATCTACAAAAGAATATTTACAAATTAATATAGACTAATGACGTCATATAAAAATCGAAATCATTGAAATATTTGTAGTTTAAAAGCCTATTTACTAAAATTTATGATAATTTAGTATTGTTTATTAATCAGTATACACATCAGTATATGTGTAATATGTATGTACATATGTATGTATAGCTAACGTGTATAATATTGTTCATATTATTGTGAATTATTGCAAGACTTGTTAAAACTGGATCCTATCAAATAATTCAAAATTAAAATTTTATAATAAAAAAATAAACGAAACAATAATATTAAAAAAAAGCAAGTTATTGAAAAGTTTTAGTCAGCTATGTTTCTGTTCTTTCTTGTATTTTTCTTAATTTTCCCGCCTTATTGTCCAAATAGCGATCCAAGGCTCGAAAAAAATACAAACTTTAATAAAATGTTAATAAAATTAATTACCAGTTATTTTATATGGGAAAGTCGTTTTGATTCTTTACAGAAATGACTCATAATATTTTTTATGAATCAAGTTTTCATTAATTATTTTAAATAAGAGGATCAAAGAATTACTTTAATAAAAGAAAACTTTTAATAGATCAATTTAGCCCATAGAACAATAGAACCGAAAAAAACAATAAATGAAATCCCCCTGTATATGATGCAGCAAATTAGTCATTCTTTGATCACAAATCTCATACAAAATATTAATTACCTATTATAAATTTTATACTCGTACATATTTCATGATAGTGCCTATAAATTTACAATTTTTGGAAAAAAAAATTAGTGGAATCGTTGAACGTATTCATTTTATAGCAAAAATGAATTATTTCATAATTTTTTGCAAATATTTTCAAAATATTGTGAATAAAAATTTTCAAAAAACTCACATTCACAATAAAAAATATGAAATACATAGACTAAAATAATGCATAATCACTTTTCTCCAAAAATAAATCTTGCATTTTTATGAAATTTTTAAAATTATTAATTTTATAGTTTACAGAAAATTATTCATTTAGAAATTTACAGAAATTAATAATGTTGTGTATGTTAGTAAAAATAAGATTTTTTTTTTAATACTCGTATAAATTTTTCATAATTTTTATTTATATTTCAAAGTATATAAAGAATGTTTTATAATAGCGTAATTTTAACACAAAAAAAAAATTTTTTAACACATGTTCTTCAATGTATTAAACAAATTGCTTAGAGTTTAAAGCACATTTGTTATGAATATTCGCATGATTTATTTTAATTACAAAATAATCTCTTTCTTATTCTTCTAATTTTCACCATATTTTTCCTGCTCAAATAATCAAATTTTAATTTCAATTACATTATTTTTTATATAAACTGTGACTATATTTTAATGAAATTTGTAGTTCACAATTAACTGAATAAAAGAAATAGTAACAGAAATTAAGTACTTAATTAATTATATAGATTAAAAAAAAAAAAACATAATATTTATATTGTTCATTTAAAATAAAAAAAATTATATTTTCATATTGTACCGGCCGGAGGTAGATATTGGTTAAAAGTTACCAATAAAAGCATAAGGTTATATTTTTTTTTTTAATTTATTTAAATAAATTAAAATGAAAAAAAAACCTTAACTACCTCCGGCCTTAAAACCGTCTAACATAAAAAATATTATATAGACTATTGTTGCTATTATTATTACAACTGTGAATTTCTTTAGAAAATAGTCAGAATCCATTTATTGTGTATACAGCAGATTCTGGAATTTTTAAATTATTAAAATCATCGCTGATTTTTTTATAATTATTTTCACTATTGTGAACGGTCTGAAATGATCCAATAATATCTTCTTTATACAAATTTATATCATCAATATAATCAGCATTATAAAGTTCAATATTGTGATTTTTCATTTTTCTAATTAATTTTAAATTATTAATTTCACCAATATCAAATATTTCATCAATATTATTAATAATTTCATTATTTTTTTCATCAGTAATATGATTTTCATAATTATTATTATTATCATAATTATTTTTTTCTTCATCTGCAACAAATTTATATTTTTTATTCATAAAGAATTGGATTTTTGGTAATGGAAAACCATTAAATGCACTTGCTATTGGTACAGTATATGCACCCATATTTTCAAAAATGATAACTTCACCGATTTCAAGTTTTGGAAAATAAACTTCTTCACATATTTGATCTAGAGCATCACAAGTTGGACCCCATATTGAACTTTTATATTTCATTATATTGCCATTTTCATCTTTCTCATTAATATTTTCTTTTAAATATTGTGGTGTTGCAGCTTGATGATCATATAAAATACAATTAAATGAACCATAGACACCATCATTAATAAAATACATTACTTTTTCTAATTTATTTTCACGTACAACTTCACGTTTTGAATGTACTTTACAAATTAATGTATGTGATGATGCAACAAAGAAACGACCTGGTTCTGCAATTATAGTTATATTATCTTCTGGTGGAAAATATTTATTTAAGGCTCGGCTAATGATACCACCAACTTCAAGAATTTTTGAATTTTTCTTCCCAGGAAAACCACCACCAATATCAAGTAAATTCATTTTAAAACCTAATGTTTCACCATATTCAAATAATCTCTTTGAATGTGCTATTGCTCGTTCATAAACAGGAAAATCTTGACATCCAGATCCAACGTGAAATGAAATACCAACAACATTTAAATTTAAATCATATGCAATTTTTAATAATTTTGGTGCATCAATGATTGGATCACAACCGAATTTTTCACCCAATGGACATTGTGCTTTTTCAGCTTCACAACGAATTCTTAATACTAAGCTAGCATTAGGAAAATATTTTTTAATTTTATGTAATTCATATTCTCCATCATATGTCATTGTATATACACCATATTGTTTTGCATGTAATAAATGAGCAATTGGTTTTGTTGGATTTGCAAATATTATACGATTTGATTGAACATCTAAATTCATAACACGATTAATTTCTCCTTTAGAAGCACAATCGAATCCAGTACCCAATTCACTTAATAATTTCAAAATAACAGGATGATCATTACATTTTACAGCATAAAATGGTTGAACTCGTGGCATTACTTCTTTCCATACAAAAAATTTATTAACAATATCAGCCAAATCAACAATATATAAAGGTTCCTCAGATTTTATAAATTCAGGACTTGAAATAATTTCATCAAAATTTATTTTATTTGTATAATAATGAATTTTTTCCATTTTTGTGTTTTTATTTTAAATATATTCAATAATAATATATTTAATAATTTTTAAAATTATTTTTATAATTATTGACTTTAACTATTAATTGTTTTATTTGAACTGATGATTATATTGCATGTTTTCATTAAAGAAACCTCACATCGTTAATCTGTTATCAGTAATCGATCTTGAAGTAATCAAAATCAGTTTTTGTTTTAATATTCGTGTATATACCTACTTCAATACATTTACTTCTTAATTTACGTTATGTGTGTAGGTGATGTAAAAATGCGATTACTTGTATATTAAATTTTCTTTTTACTATACTTTTATTTACACATTTTAAATATTTGAGTAATTTAATTTAAAAAAATCCATATAAATTTTAATTATTATAAATATTATGTTTGAAATCTTGAGAATTGAAAATATTTTGCATAATAGTTAAAAATATTCTGTAATAATACATAAAACCAAAAGTTATAACATAATAGATTGGTTCCATAGCGAGTACTAGTAACTAAACGAGTATTTAGTTACATATATGTACTAAATATAAATGTAATCAGAATATCAAAAAAACTTAATCTCAAATGCATCTACATTATATATTATTCTTTAATATTCTGCTTTTAAAATACAAATACACATTTTATTAAATGGTATTAATATTGTGATAATACAAAATTTTAAAATATAATGAAAACATAATAATGTATATATGTATTATCTATATGTCTCTCTTATCATCAAAATTTCATAGAAGTAAAACAATGAAAAAAATAAAAAAGCACAATAATTAATTACATGAACGGAAAAAGTTCGATTGTATCCTTAAAAAAATATTAAAAAATTATAGTTGATAACAATTAAGTTAAATTGTATAGATTTTAATACGGAATATACATATGTATGTATATGTATATATGGGGAAAAAATATGAGCAATAGGAGCATATGTAATCAATATTTTTGGACAAATTGAGATAGAGCTAGTTTTAGGAAGATCGCGAGTATACTTAATTATTATATATCATAACAAAAATTGTTATAGAATTTTTGAAAAGAAAAAAAAACATAAATAAATTTTAAACTAGTTTAAATATGTTTTAAGATGCATAATTATTTTGTTGGATTTTTATTTTAAAAAAATTGCCTACATATAATATACTTATAATATTGTCTGATTGGCGAATACGCCACATGGATGGGACGCCTCGCTAACGACCTCTGCTGGTTTTACTGTGACGAGGAGGAGGAGGAAACTGTAACTCATTTTCTGTGCTAGTACCCGGCTTTGGTAAGAGGAAGGCGTAGGTTCCTTGGGTCGCATTTCTTTCTGTTGGTTACGAAACTAGCAAAATGTAAATGCCTCTACCGGTTTATAAGGGACTCGGGCTGGTTCACGTGAGAGTAGGGATATGGAGATTCTGCGGCATCACAACGGGCCCAAGTGGCCTAGGTGTATCCACGGATAACCGCATCAACCTTACCTAACCTAACTTAATACTTATAATAATTTATTTGAGAAAAATAAATTTTTTAAACCTATACTATGCGACACGATTTCTATATATAAAACAGTGTTCCATTTTATTAGTTTTATAGAAAAAAATATATTAATTCAATACAGATACATAAATAATATAAATATCATATTGTAATACAAAATTTCTTTGTACAACCAAAAAAAAAAAACAAAATTGATACATAAAAAAATGTGTTCAGTATATAGTATAATAGTACAGTATAACAGTATATCAGTACATCAATATATCAGTATAGTCTTATAACACAACATTAATGAGTAAGTTTCTTTTGATATATGAAATGTAAATTTTATGTTTCATGGATAAAACTCAACATTTGTCAACATAAATATTCAGAATTTGACATTTATTTTCTATTAACAAATGAGAGCATCTACCGGTCATATCAATACTAATTTTTTATCTTATATAGAACTTTAGCTTCGAAATTGACATGACATAATTTTTTCACTTATTTAAGTCATTCAATAATTTTTTTTTATATCAAATTATTAATTTGATAATTTATTTATTCTAATACAAGTCTCTTGATTATTAATTTTTTGATTTCTTTTATATTTTTTATAATAGTTTAAGCCTCTAATACAATAATATTAGTTTAAAATATGAATATTTTATGTCAAAAATATTTTATAATAAAATTAACAACAATAACTAACCCATTTTTAGAACAATTAATTAATTAAGTGTAGGTTGAACAAAAATATTATGTATTAAACCTACTGCCATTTACTTCAATTTTATGTATGTATAACAAACTACTTGTATTTTATAATCTTATTAAAAGTGAAAATAAACTTTTTCTATTAAAATTTCATGATACTACACTATTGTAGATTTGAAACGCTTCTATACCTACATAAGCATACCATACATAGGTATATATATATGCATTTTACAAATTTGCATCATAATCAACATTTTTAAGTTAATGTAATCGTATATATTACGAGAATTATTGTTATCACATTTATTATTATAATTATTATATAAATTAAGTTTATTATCATGTCAGTGAGACTGAATGAGATTTATTTTTTGTTTTCTTATTTTTTTAAAATGTAAACGTTTATACGTTAACTATAGTAATAATTATTATATTGTACTCGTGTACAATAATTATACATACACAAATACAATTGAACTATTTAAACTATGTTCTTAATTTTTGATTGCGGTGAAAGAATTAGAAATGGAACAATGTTCTAATATAATTTTAATTTATGTTATGTTAAATTGAAAATTAATGTATGGTAAATATGTATATTAATAATTAGATGTAGTACGAACTATCAATTAACTATGAAAACCTAATTTAAGATTAATTTATTTTCTTCTTTTCTATTTAAAAAGATTTGAAAGTTACTATATAGAAATTTTATTTATCGCATTATTGTTTTTAGGTCATTTCTTTTTTATAAAATATTTGCAATCACTGAGTAAACAACCATTTGATTACTTCTTAAACCATGAATTAAATTAAGAAAATATTGACTAAAAATTATAAAAAATAAAATACTCCATTTTCTTACATTAATGTAGACATACGGTGATTCAATAATAGGTAATTTAGGTTGAAAACTTTAAATTTATAATCATAATGATTTTTAGTAACACTGTGTGATTTAAGAATACACCCACAAAAATTAATATGTAACCATGTTGAGAAATGATCCTTTTTCGCTTTTCCAATTTAAAGCAGTCTTACAGAGTAAAGTAATGTTGCATGTAAAAACTAAATATTTTAATTAAAATGCATTTCAAGCTGTTATAGAAGCTAACAGATTTTAAGTTGTTGAAACCAAAACAAAATTTTAAGCTTGTGAAGAAATTAGAATTATTGTAAAAAATAATATGTATTTCGGGATTCGTTAATCAAAATATAATACTAAGCCCAATCAAAAATTTCTATTTGTACTAAATCAAAATATTTAAATTGTAAATTATGAAATAAAATTTTATACAGATTACATTAATTTTTGCAAAATTAAATCTTGTAATTTATATTTGTTATAATCATTTAGTCTTCTTAAAATTTTTTAATACAGGAAATTTTAAAGACCAATTTGCTTTAATATTAAAGACTAAATCAAACACTTTGAATTTTTCTTTTGCAGAATGGCGCTGAAGCCTGCACGCAATGCTTATATTTGTAATTTTCATATTAATTATTAGTATTAAAATTTAGAAGTTTTAAAAAATCAAAAAAAAAAAAAAACATCTCATCCTATAAATATGCAAAATATTGAATTCAAGTTTCAAAAAATTAAACCAGAAATAACGTTTTGCATAAATTTTGGCAAACTATTTTCAATTTTGAAGAAATATTCAGAAATTTTTTTTTTTTTAATAAATAAAGACTAAATACTTTAACGGAATAATAAAACATTTTTTATAAAAAAAAAATCACAAATTTAACAAAAAAAATTTATTCATATTTTGTTTTTTTTTCTTGTTAACAAAAAAAAAAAATAAAGTGTCGTACTCTCACTTTTTGTTATTTCAATTTCATAGGAAATAAAAATAATTATCAGTATATTTTTTTGTTTAAACCTTGACCGTGAACTATGTATAGTTGAATTTCAAAAAATAATGTTGATTTGTATTAGCAGAAGAAATGATTTTTTTGTTCATCAAATCCAAAAAAAAATACATGTACTGTTGTATGTGCACACTTAAAAATATTTTTACTATAAAGATAGTTCACAAAATATATAGATAAATTTTAAAATTTTACCTTGTGATTTTTATAATTCCAATTTCTTAAATATATATAAGAATTGGTCACGCAAGTTTATAATTGATTCTATATATATATGAGAAACTGGCTTTTATAATAATTTTTTAACACGACAAAATATCATCACACAAATATATAGATAATTTTGCTTTCCGTTTTTTTTTATGATTTTATTACTATAAAATTTTGTATAAAATTCTATAAAAAGAAAATATATTTCTTCCGTTGTTATATTTAATATGAATGACTAATTTAATAATAAAAATATGAAAGTAAAAATTTATTCGGAATTGAATTTTCTTAAGTGTTAAAAATTCTATAAATTATTTTGATAAAAATTTTATCATTTCATATTATATTTTATTAAAAATAAATATTCTTTGTATATTAATAATTAATTAATTATATGAGAAATATTGTATGTATTTATAATTTATGATGTTTTTTTTTAGAATATTAACATTCAACGCGGTCTAATTAATTAGATTAATTTGTAGGTAATATTTTTATATGTTATACTTCGCTATATATTTCGTTTTATTTTGAATTCTCTATATTATAATATTAACTACATTATATACCGAACAGCAATTATATAAGAAAAATAAACACGTGTACATGTATACCTATACATTTCTATATATTATGTACACAAAAAAATTGTATAAATAAATAAATATAGATATATAGGGCAAAAATAAATTATAGATAAGAAAA